TGACAACAGGCGATATTGATGATGTTTAAATATATTCAGTAAAATGACAGCACATCAATATCGCCAGGTTTAAATGTATTCAGTAAAATGACAACACATCAATAGCATCAAGTGAGGTTATATTGGACAAAGTGTAGCATCAGATAAAATTCACTGGTGTTAGATTCATAGATTATAAAACAAGATTTAGAAATGAAGCTATTTGTTTTGATATTTAGTGTTCTTGAACTTTTATAAATGTACTCATCCCATCATTAGTATGGAACTTTTCTGTAGCTTGCCAAAAAAAAGAATAAGAATTAAAACATAAATATAGTCTATATATATACACACACACACACATGTATTAAATTCATTACGTAAGGTAAAGTAAAAATATTATGAAAGAAATTTATTTAAAAACAACTTAACTACAGATTTTTTTCCACATTCTCTTTGTAATCCAAAATCAGAGGTCGTAAAAAATAACATTTCATACTTGTATAATGCTTTTGATAAGTCGCTACCCAAGAAGTTTTTTGTTCAATACCAGCACTTGTCATTGAAGAAAAAAATGCAGTTATAACTAATTTCAGATCTATCGATTTCCAACCCATGAACGGCTTCCGGGGTTTAAACCTTAACTTTTAAAATAAATGCACTTGTTTGTATAATTATCTTTGCTCAAAAACATATTAATCAGGATTCAAAATACAAAAACAACAACAACAACATACATTGATAGATATTAAGCGAGTGCAAGTAGGCTTAATGTGAGCTAAGCCTACTTTGTTCTGGTAATGCAATGTCGTGATTGAGATAGTAAGTTTACCATCCTACTGGTTGTTTTAAAATATTTCCAGGGTCAGATAAAGGTATAAGATTAAACACGGTAAAGCATCGTCTCTGCACCACAAATTCCTTCTACTGTGTTTTGTTGTAAATGTATTTATAATACAGTGGCGTTATGGTTACACGAGTAAATGGGTTTGAACATTTTTACGGACTGTTAATTGTTGCATGCATACTTTGTTGCATGACTATTATAACAATCAATTGTGGTTTATTTGGAATAATCTGTAGTAACTTGCCAGCATTGTAATGAAATGGAAAACTGTTGTGCTCTAATAAAATTTTCCAACTGTTCTCTCTACAAATTGGTAATGTTTTAAAAGCTGACTTGTCATCATCACATCTATAAGTGTGAAGGTGTGTCATCATCACATCTATAAGTGTGAAGGTGTGTCTACTGTCATACTTCGAGTGAAATGATTAATGGAGCTTATGAGTTATTCCTGAGAAAAATGGGCAAGTAACACCGCGAAGATATTTTGGACGTGTTTCTTTATAGGTATGTGCCTATTGCTATCAAGGTGAATACATTTAGATGTACAGACAATAGCAGGTCTGACTAACAGACACATAGACAGATAGATTATGTGTGTACTGATCGCTGGGTGAGCGAAAAAGACAGGTGGACGGACAGACACATAGATAAACGAACAGACAGAGAAGCAAGTAGATAAAAGCAATCAAAACTTCATGGTTTAAAGATTCATGAAACTAAATGTGGCGATATCGATGTGTTGACATTTTACTGAATACATTTAAACATGGCGATATTGATGTGCTGTCATTTTACTGAATACATTTAAACATGGCGATATTGATGTGTTGACATTTTACTGAATACATTTAAACATGGCGATATCGATGTGCTGTCATTTTACTGAATATATTTAAACATGGCGATATTGATGTGTTGTCATTTTACTGAATACATTTAAACATGGCGATATTGATGTGTTGTCATTTTACTGAATACATTTAAACATGGCGATATTGATGTGTTGTCATTTTACTGAATACATTTAAACATGGCGATATTGATGTGTTGTCACACTTTGTCCACTATAACCTCACCTGATGTTACACTTTGTCCACTATAACCTCACTTGATGCTACACTTTGTCCACTATAACCTCACCTGATGCTACACTTTGTCCACTATAACCTCACCTGATGCTACACTTTGTCCACTATAACCTCACTTGATGCTACACTTTGTCCACTATAACCTTACTTGATGCTACACTTTGTCCACTATAACCTTACCTGATGTTACACTTTGTCCACTATAACCTTACCTGATGCTACACTTTGTCCACTATAACCTCACCTGATGTTACACTTTGTCCACTATTACCTCACGTGATGCTACACTTTGTCCACTATAACCTCACCTGATGCCACACTTTGTCCACTATAACCTTACCTGATGC